GGCCCTCAATATTTTCTTAATTGTTAACTTTTTTTAATTTTTATAATCTCAGTAGAGTATCATTTATATAGATTAATAGAATACCTTTCAAGATGCACAGGAGAAATGAATAAAAATTTTTTAATGTAAATCGGGTTCATTAAGATATAATTCAAATGTTTCAGGTGCATAGTGAAAAAGTTTATTTATGACATATTTCAAAACACAGAAGAGAAGACAAAGAATGCACAAAAGCATCACAAAATTGGTACATAATATAAAAACACAAGAACTGAGCTATTTAAAGAAGCATAGCTCAGGATCGTCTGTGCATCACAGCAACACATTCAGTGCCACAGGGTGGTAAAGTATGGTATTTTAAAGGAAAAAAACCACTCAGCAGGACATAATGATTAAATAACAATTCGGTACAGAGCTCTTAACTTAGAAACCATAGGTGATATTGACAGCGGTTCTCATGACGGGACATGTAAAACAAGTGGACTGCAAAAAATGATAGGTTGACATACTTTTGTATTTTAAAGAAAAGACTGTGACACTGTTTCCCTTCCAGACCCCTTTTTGGAATGTCAGCATCAGTGCATGATGCAGGACAATAGGGAAAGAATGCTTTGTGGTTTGCCAATTGCTTAGATATTTACCAAGAAAGTTCGATCATCTTTCAGTCAACTAGATCTCAGTGCGTGGCACCAAAGCAGGCCTTTCAGAAACAAGCTAGATGGCATAAAGTAGTTGAAATCTTCAAGCACTTCGCTCTACTCTAATTAGCCTTACCCAAACTGGGGCTTTCTTATACCCCATCACTTTGATTACAAAGCAGCTTTCTTCTGGGAATTTCAAAAGACTTCCCATTATTAAGAGAAAATGGATACACCAGAGTCATGGGATATAGAATTGCTTTCTCTGGGCTTTACTTGCTCTTGAACATGGCTAAATGGAAATAATTCAACTTGATTAAATGAAAAAAATCTTTTACAGGACAATAATCTCAGAAAGGGATGTTAGTGGCATTTTTAATATGGAATTTCTTAAATGTACTGCTTAGGACATGAGAGAAAGAATTAAGGTAATGTTCTCCAGATGATTCTTGCCTGAACCTAAAAATCAGCAATAACAGCCAAGCACAAGAACATCACAGATGAGGCATTTCCTACCTAAGTGAGGATGAGCATTCAGGAAGAGAGCTCCTTAAACTGACTGCCAGTTAAGGTCTCTTCCGTAATCCGATAGTCTATAGTATTTCAAACCAAAACTTTAGAATTGTTCATGACCCTGTATCAGAACTTTCAGAAAATATACTTTGTCCCCTGGGAATCACTTCACATGTATTATTTTATCCCTAGATAAGCCAAAACTACCTGCTTACAGTGAAAGAAAACTGTATAATTTAATAAAAAGTATATATCTATAGATTTGGGGGCACCCTTTCCTCATCTCCCAGAGCGAAGAAGAGCCTTAACATTAACTCTGGTCCACCTGCCTGGGGCCTAAAACAAATCAAAATACATATAATAGAAACCATGAGTTCAAACCAGTAACCAGGGCTATAAATAATTTCAAAGCCAGAGTCTTGCCTTTGGACTTAGCTTCTGAGGGAATGACTATTTGCAAATGAACCCCACTATCAAGGCTTTAGGCAGTTAATTGGGTTTTCTTAGCTTGGAGACGAGATTCAAACAGGAGGGGCTTTGTTTGGCCTTCGGGGTTCAGGCAGGGACAATGCAACACTCCAGAGGGAGCAGTGATTTCTGACATCTGGCTATATAATACTTAGCAAAGTTTCCCTCCCCCTTTAGGTCCGTCCCAAATCCTGCCCTAACCTCATTACCTAAATAAGTGGGTAAATATCAGTGGAGTGTCCATAGGTGCTGGGCTGGTTAGACAGAGCAAAGGGGTGACACTGCTCATAACCAGGTACCAACAGAGCCAAAGCAGTTCTTGCCTGAGGGCGTTCCCCTCGTTCCCAGAAAAGAGGCCACTGGGAACCAACTCCCAGGGGGGTTCTCCTTTACAGAATGCCAAAGTCACTGCCCACAAAGGATGTCTCCTTTAGTGGGCCCTGAAGTCAGACTCTCAGCTCACACCGAAATTACACTTACGGCCAGTGACAAAATATATTCCCACAGATGGAGGGCTTGCTCTATTTATTAGCAACTCAGTTCATTTGAAGTCCTCATCAGTACAGCACTGTCACATCCGCTTCACTCACTTGCTAAGGTAAACAAGAGCTCCAACTGCACAGTCACAGTTACCCAGCTATCCCAATATGGGACCAGAAGTCACAATCCCTCCCCAGCCCTACTGCCAGTCATGGTGGACTGCCTTATCTACTCAACTCACGCTAGGATTTAATTCTGGTTAATCAGGTAAACTGAGGCCTTGGATACCATGATGCCAGTGCTAAACAATACCAGAAATAAGACATCAGAGAGAAATGGAGGGAGCCTAGGCCCTCTCTCTGTCTCTCAGCTATGTGAACCTGAGAGCCTAAGGATAGGATCCCATGTGCGTGAAGACTGGGACTTTGGCCATGTAGATACTCACCACATACTGGGTTGCTGGAAAGCACCCAGCTTGTGATTGGTTTTAGACACCCATTCCCTACCTGCTCCCCAAAGAATCATGTATCATGGCTCCCTGAGCACAAACACAATGAATATAATGACTTTCTCTCTACATAGCATAAATCCCTTAACGAGCTACCACCCCTCACAACAACAAAAATGAAATAACCTTCCTTAAGACAGAAACTCACTTTCCAACTCTTTTCAACCACTGGTGCTTTTCCCCTTTTCTAGCAGATTCAGTTCTACACTTCTGACCATGTGGAAAGATACCAGTTAAAAGAGTTTGATGTCAACCATACAGACTCAGGAGACAATCTAAACGGAAGCTCTAACAGGGTGAACAAACTGTGTTTGGTATGTTCCCTTTACTACTGCGTATATGACCATCCCATCCAAATTAAAGATGGTGAATCTTACACCTCCCAGGGAGGTCAGCCCACAGGGGCACAGCTTGCTCCCAAACACACTCTTGTGGTTTGAAACTCTCCTGTGATGTCGGTCAAAATTAACCCACTTCATCCCTTTCTTGGCCCCTGTCAGAATCAACTGGGGCTACAGTGACACAACTAGAACTCCGCCTGTCCTCCTCCTAAACTCATCATCTTTTTCATGTTACTAGACTCGTAAGTCTCAGAGAATACAGAGATGAAATCCACGCTCAGGTCAGGATTGTACTTAGTAGAGGAGACCTACTCAAAAACACTTCTAACGCAGATCCTGTTGGACAAGACAGCAAAATGGGTTTGGGGTTTTCCCAATCAGTGGGATGAGAACCAGTGAGGCTTCTGCCTTAAAGAACAATTCCAACTACTGAACTACAAACTAAAGAACTAAACAAAATCAGGGTATGAGCAAAATTCCAGGATACATCTGATAGCTTTTCTTTCTTCCCCTCAATTTATTCTGTTTTCATTCCTTACTGTCAATTTAAAAAGGCAGTTCTCAAGCTGCACAAACTGTTTCACTCATGCCCCTTCCTCTATAACAATAGTCTTTTGTGCAAATATTAGGGTAACTCAACTTTGTACCTTAGAACCACATACTTTGGGGTTAAAAGGCAACATTTTGCAGAAAAGTGGTCTTAAAAATAAATATTAAAAATACAAACTTTGGGGTTTGGGTTTCACCTAATTCTTTCAATGAGGGACTGAGTAGGGCTCATCAAAAACATATACACTCAGATACTTCCTGTAAATGATAAATTTTACAATAATATCTAATCCCACTGATTAATATAAGACAGTGAGCTTTTAGCTTTAACTCTTCCATATACATATTACAAGGACAATATATATACTTTATAAAAGTATGAGATTTTCTTTCCTAAATGACAGATACAACTATATTTAAAGTGCATGAATCAATTAAGAAAAAAAACAAAACTAAGAATGGCCTCATTTCAAGTGGCTACCTACTTCCATTATAAAACTGCATATTGCGTGAGGGTTGAGTTTCAATCCAGGGTCCTGAGGATGTCTCATAAAGCAAAGAGATTAGAATAAAGTCTTTCCAGAGCAGCTTCACAATTACCCTACCTCCAGCATCTCAGTTAGAGAAGAAAACAGCGGAAAGTATGACCTGAGGGAGGAATACAGCATGAGTTTGAAAAGTGACAGCAAGAAACACTTTTACGAGGTAACCCACACTGAATGAAGCAAGTTTGCAAAAATCCAGGAGCTCTCTAAGCTAATGTCTGCACAGGAACCATCCTCTAATTGGACACTTGTGAAAAGGAACAGAATGGTAGAATCATCTTTGTTTAAAAATTAGCAGTTTATAATTTTAAAATCCATGTGGTGGCACATATAAGGATGTTTATACTTTAAGTTTTCCGTTTGCTGAAAATTTTTCATAATAAAATGTTGGGAGAAAAAATGAACCCTTTAAACCTCATTTTTGAAAGCCCCATCTCTCAACAAAGTAGCACAACTAAACAAACTGAAGGAATTTAAGAACTCAGCCACTCTACGTAGAGAATTCCAATCTCTCTCTTACGATGAAGCACTTTCAATTGTTTGTTAATATTTACTTGTGCTCTACAGAACAGGGTGAGGGTGGAAGCAAATGATTTTCATTTCATTGTTTGGTTTATAAACTTGGACATGGAATAACTACCTCTTAAGATTTCCTGGGCTATGAAATTGTCAGTAATTACCTGTGCTTGAGTAAATAATATTTTGTCTCTAAAGTTCAAAAATTTCAGAAATTTAATACGAGAACAGTGAATGAATTAGATGGTGAAAACATCTTTTAGGAATTTTATGCAAATGGAACAAAGAAACCCTAACTGAATTGTAACCACGTCCAGGACTTCAAAAGTGACCAGACAACAGGAGGCTCACAGAGGCGATGGAAAACAGTCCCTCACGCTTTTGTGATGCAACAGAACTAGAATTCCAAAGAAAATGAGGACAGAAAATCTCACAGCAAAAATAAACAATAAATGTTACCCGGGGAGCTTGCTATGGCCTGGCAACTCCATTTTAAGAGAAAGTCAGAAGTTAATAATAAACAGGAAAAATAAGCAAGGCTTCAGCTGACTGGAGAACAGCTCAGTAGAAAATTATGTTATAAAGTTTCTATTAGCAAAAGCATGATTCACCTTTAGTGATGAAAGAGTGGTTACTCAGCTATCTAGTGGAATGACGGACAGCAAGTTTGCTTTTCACTGCCCAAATTGACAGTCACTAAAATAATTTCTAATTTCTTACAAGGTATATAAATTTTGGCCAGTGTAATCCTCTACAAAATGCACTGGGATATAAAATAATGGAGGTATGATGCCGCTCAGAGAATGGGGATGCTATGGCAATCCACCACATCCTACCCCACTTCGGACTTTGCTCCCAGGGGACCAGAAGGTGCAGGCTCTACACCCTTTGCTCATGATGCAGATGCTACCACAGACCTATTGTGAGGAGCCCGCTTCCTCCAGTTCCTGCTCCTGTATGGAGGGGAGGCCTGGTGGGAGGCACTCAAACAAGGAAGGACTGAGCCAGAGGAAACATCGTGAAGCACGGGTCCCTTCAGAGCAGGCCAAGGACTTGGGCAGCCTGGAGTCACAGGGTAGCTCTGACTGGCTAGTCAAGTCCTCTGCGTCAATCCCGGGCACATAGGCAGATTCCCTCACGACCTAGACTCCTCGCAGGGAATGCTGGCAGGTTAGTGTCATCCCTGTCAGAAGGGGCAGATTCCTCCCAAAGCACCGCAGGGCTGACCCTCAGGAAGGGAACATCACTTCCCAACTCCTCTGTGACTCCATAGAAGAGGTGGCCTCAATGGCTCAGAGCAGACAGAAGCCTTCTGAGAAACAGATGGAGACAGTTTCAAAGGCATATTGAAATGTGCTAAAAAAATAAATAAAGTAATAAATTAATTAATCCTCAAAATTCTAAGGCAGTAATAGACTTGACACAAGGAATAAGAAACAAGTAGGTACCGACAACCGCAGTGGTCCCTTCTCTGCCTCCTTCTCTGCCTGAGGCCCTGCCACCCTGTCCCTCTGGTGACCACTGGCTGCAGCACCCTGTGGCACTCCTGGCCCTCAGGGTGATAAGAGTGGCAATGGCCGTCACCAGGGAAATGCAAGCACTGGCCTGGGAAAGAGCAAATCCAATCAGTAGCAACAGCGGAGCTCATTATCACCTTTCCTAAGAGACTCTAAACACCAGAAGCTTTAAGCCCTGAATGCAAGAAATCTCAATCCAGAAACTTTGGCTATCAGATTGGTTCCAAAGCAAAATGTCTAAATAACATTCCTACTCTAAAGAAAGGAAAAAAAAGTGGCGGGGAATCTGCAGTGGTTTTTTTTTTTTTTTAAACCTTCTTTCTCAGATTATACCCCTTCTTCTTTGATTATATAAAAAAATAATTTCAGTGTGGGTTCTGAGATCAATCCAGTACCTAAGGGCCACCCTTTCCCCTTCAACCACCAGTGTCCTTGGTGAAGGACACTACCTCTTTAAACAGAAAGTGATGGAGGCAGGGGTTTTTTCCCAGAAGATCCTAGTTACACTGATCGTCACTTTAGACCGCATGAAGTTCTTGCTGTAATGACAAAGACACAGGCTTAGGAAAGGGAAAAGAGGAGGCAAAGAGGAAGAAGTGAACCATCAGGACTAATAACCCCTCAAAGGCAGTGAGGGCTCCCAGCCTGTGCTAGAGACCCCAAAGAGCCAGCAGGCGGGAATATGGCAGTGGTGAGAGGCTGGACAGAGCTTTCTCCATTCAAGAGGTTGGGTTCCTTCATGGACAGTGTGCTTTTCTCTCTTCCAGCACTTCCAACAAGAGAGTGGATCACCAAACACACCTGCAATAAAGGCTCTGGGAGAGGAGAGAGCAGCAATTGCCTAAGAGACCTTATGCTGAAACAAACCTAGTTTTAAAAGACAACACCCAACTTCCTTTTAGGCTTTTGCCTGATGGGCACCTTCACAGAGGGAGTTTGCTGGAGTCTGAAGCAAGAAGAGTGTGAGTCAGGGACCACAGAACAAGGGCACTGTATCAGCATCTGCAGAAGCCAGGAATGGGGAAAAGCTACATGGGGTCGACAGTCAGGCATACCAGGAAGGGCGTGAGGATCGGCAGCCTCACGCGCAGCTGCAAGCTCTTGCCCGTCAGAAACAAGAGGCATCAGCTGGCAGCCCACTCAGCCAGCACACGCCTGCCGCCCCATCCCCGCAGGCCTTCAGCTAGTGTAGTAGACGTGGAAGTAGAGAGTCTTGTTGCGGAGCAGGGAGTAGGAGTTGTCAAACTTGAGCAGGTAGATGCCCTCACCGGGGTAGTCGTGGCTGCCAGCCTGCACGTCTCGGTGGCTGTCCCGCCGGTACACGGGCATGACCTCCCCATAGCGCCCCCGCAGGGAACTCCTGGAGCCTCTCTCCACATCTCCAGCTGGGACAGGGTCTGCATGGGCAAAATGGTAGAGTGTTTGGATATGAGCTCCAGAGAATGAGTAAATCCTACCTGAAGGTAAGAAAATGGACCAAGTGACCTAGTGGCTTTCACCCAGTGGGGATGCTACTGCCTTCCTATAGCAATGTGGAAATGTCTGGTGGCCTTTTTGGCTGTCATAGCAACTAGTGGGTGATCCAAGGGTCCAGGAGTGCTACACATCGGGATAGTACTTGCTCATCAAAGAAGCATCCCACCCTAAATGCCAATAATGTCTCCCCCGAGAAACAGGATTTAGCCTTACAGAGTCTACCTAGCTCCAGAAATGTCTGGACATTTCCAAGGGGGAGAAAACGATATTTAGAAGGAATAATTCTGATAGTCTTTCATTCAACAGGGGAAAGAACTAGCTCATGGAGGCAGGAAATGTAGACAAATAGGCTGTAAACGGTGACCTAGAACTTCCACTTGGCCTCCTAAAGAACAGCAAATAAGATACGAGGCTCTCCTCCTCCCTGAAGATTTCCCTGCAGACTTAGTTTTCCATGAGGAAGCAAGTTCCGGAATTGATTTCAAGATAATATAGGAAAATCAAGGGACAAAGCTAATGCTTAGAACCTGCTCTTACATTACCGAAGGGAAAAAAAAAATGCCTCAGAGCCACCCTGAGAAGGTGTTGCGAGGAACAACTGGAAGAGAGCACAGAGACTGCTTTGCAAACTGCTCTTGGCATGAAGCAAAGAAGTAAACAGTAGTCAGCCGGCTATGACAGTTTAGAGGGGAGAGAATGGGTACATTTAGCAAACTGGAATCACTCCATTTGGTTCCAGGCCAAGAATAAAAGTAAATATCCCGAAACTAAGGGAGAAATGTAAAATAATCTCAGGTTTAATCTGTGATCTGAAGAACACTGCTTCTATATACAACAGCACCAACCCCCCCTTTCCCATCCCCTCCCCCATCCCTGTCCCCAAGGAGATGTTGGGGACACAACAGGGGCTGATTAAAAGGAAAAGAAGCTTTCCACTAAGGCGTCGACACAAACCCCACCAGGATGTCCTCTGAGGGCCGGACTTGGGCCCGCCTCACTCAGCGCAGCTTGCACTGCTGACGAGGCTGCCTCGCCTGAATTCTAAGGAAGAGGAGGACTGGGACGCACAGGAAGTGGTAACTAGACACTAGGTGGGGCCAGGAAAGGAAACTGCAAATTCTGTCAAAATTAACTTTACCTTCAATCTCCTCCTCCTCTTCCTCGTCTTCATCCTCATCCTCACTGGACTCGCTGACCTGCACTGTGATGTCAGTGCTGGTTACAGGGGTCCAGTCAAAATAAACTCCAAAGCCAATGTCATAGTCATCAGTTGCAAACTCCCAGCAGACACGCTTCCCCTCTGGATGGGTAGGTACCCGGATGGTCACCACCTCCCCCCGCTTCACCACCAGACGGCTATTCTTCTCTTTGCCCAGCTTGCTTTTGAATTCCTTCATCTTGGCGAAGGTCCAGATGCATGGAGGCGCCATCAGAGGTGGGGAGGCTGAAAGAAAAGGCAGCTTACTACTGAGAAGCCCGGAGGAAAGGCTGCCACACCTGGCATTTTGCTTAGGGGGGTTGTCCCAGTCAGAGACATTCTCTCTACTGGCTTTTCTGACTTTCTTTCACAAGTTACTTTCTTTCCTTCCATCTGTCTGCCTGCCTTTAAGTACCGGTTGGGAACAGAAAAACCACTTTCCACACCCCCAAAGGGCTCACTCACCTTTCCTGTGGTCTCCCAGTAGGTCTGCAGATTCCAAATCAGCGGAAAGAATGTCTACAGCTCCTGTGTGCTCAGACTGGATCATAACGATGTCCCCAGGCCACTGCGGGACTTGGTACTTGGCCATCTGCACAACAGAATTCTGGTTAGAGGGCACGATAGAAGGGCAGATTCCAATGAGCCTTTTTGCAAATGAAGGCTGCCCACCTGCCCTACGACCTCCACTCTCCCAACTCTAAGCCTACGACGCTCTTCCACATCCCTTCTTTCCTCCTCGGACAGGTTGCTAATAAACTCGACTACCTTTTTGTCAATGCCACCAAAGTGTTCCCTAGTTTAAAGATCCTTCCTTGTTCTCTCCTACCTTTTGCAACTTTCCCACTCCAGGCTTTCTATAACATCCTTGCCCACAAGCATCCTCTAAGCTTGCTGCTAACTTTTACATCAACAGCATTTCTGGACCCTGCCTTC